ATATATATATATATATATATATATATAGACTTGGGATCATATAAGTTCTGATTAAGGTATTTAAGGGTCGTTTATCCAAATGCTCAAAGTCTCTAACCATCTATAATTGTTGTTTTTTGTGATATGAGTTTGCTATTTGCATTTTTTTCAAAGAAAATATCTCATGTACCGGTTAGCTATTGTGTTTCAATGGCAAATGGATGTCAACCAAATGGATTTGATTGATTGGTTGTGCAAGTATCAACACAAGTTGGTTTGGTCTTGCTGTGGCAATCACGTGTGTATCTGTCGTAATCGTCAATCGGTATTCTCGCTTACATTTATGTAAAACTTGTACCCCGCCGCATTGCGCGGGTAGACAACTAGTATATATATATATATATATATATATACTAGTTGGTTACCCGCTGCAATGCAGCGGTAGGTAAAATTTTAAAACTTGCTAAAACCATTTTATTATTTTCTCTACTTTCATGATAGAGTTGAATTCTTTCGTCAAACTACAAACCAACTAACTAGAAAATTAATAACATAATTACACCATAAATAAAATTTTAAATTACAAAAGACAACATTGTTATGCCTATCAATGGTAGCAACAAGAAGCTTAAGACACTCAACATGTTTATGCCTTGCACATATCATTAGTGTAGTTTCTCTTTCTTTGATACTTGAATCAAGATTACAACATGTATTAACCAAGTGTTCCGAACTCCATATTAACCTAGCATTGCAACAAAATGTATTAACCGGAACTCTATTGCTTTGACCGTTTGAACTTGACCGGAAAACCAACTCAATGTTGTTGAACCAGGCAATGCAACAATCTGCACATGACATGAAACAAAAAGAGAAGATTAACTTATTGAGCATGTCATACAACCCATATAGGTGGTATTTTATCAAACTATAAGATATATTTTAGTTTTTATACTATATAGGATGGTATTGTATCAAGCTGTAAGATATATTTTAGTTTTTGTACTATGTAGGTGATATTGTTCCTATTCTACCTTTACTGTCAGTCTGTCAGTTTTTCACCACAATGGCACCAACGCTAGGATTTGAACATTTTATTTGAAAACACAAATTGTTTGGCTACATCTAATACATAACAGGGGCAATAATATTCTATTACAATTAACGTATAACCTTACCATAAGGAATCCAAATGCTAGTCCAGTTCCTATCACAACCATATGTGGGTAGTTTACGATTAAATTAGATGGAGACATACAATCCCTGAAAAACAGATAAAAGTTTGCCTGAGAACATAAAAAAGAAACTCATACATCCCATGAAAGCATCGACTCCACACAAATTTTCAAACTACCACAACTATAAAGGTGGTAATTTCCATGGGACATCTAAAAAGGGAAGGGGCAAAGGGAGTAGAATATGGTAAATGGTCAGGAAGTATATACAAAAGAGAAGGTGCACACCAGAGCAGAATTACCCCCAACAGCACGCCAAATGGAACAAGCTATCAAGAAAAGATAATAAAACAACAAATAAGCCTCTTAAGGACCAACAAAACAGTACAGTTCACAAGAAAATATAGCTACCATAGCCAAGGCATTTAGCATGCTTCCTTTTCTCGATTGTACAACCTCATAAACATTTTGTACACTGTGAGCAAGGAAGATACAGAGCAAGTTAAATGAAAGTGATATAGCAACTTTTAACTGCAATATTTGAATGGATAAGAAGTCTTCTTAAGTTTGGATARAAATGGACATATCAGTGGACAAGATACAAAGTGCAATTTAACTCTATCAAAGCAAAATCATGGTGACACTTGAACTTATAAGTTATAATACAAAACTCTGTTTAGCAGCTAAAAATCTRCCATGAAACTTYAGGTTCTTAATTTTTCCATTTCCGCTAAGCATTTCAGTGTTAGATATAGACATTGGTTACTTTATGATGGCTTTATATATCCAAAAACATTATAAATATGCAATAAGGTAAAGAAAATAGTGAAAATTCTTTGATGAACTGAAGAGATTTACTTACTTGAATGAGATAGTGAGTATAACAGCAAAAAGTACCATAAACAACAAAACAGCTCCATAGGTAGTGACTCCTGAATACAATGATATGATCACATCAAAAGGTAGCAAAATATATCTCAATCCTAAATAAATTCAGCAATGATCATTAGGTCTCTCCATGATAAATGCAACAACGCATAATTTGGAAGGTTAATCCAGATAAAAATACCATTTGCCTTCTAATGCAAAAGCATGTGATGTGATGCAAAGTTGATGCACAACAATGTATTTTTATCATATCACATATTTGTAGGTTATTATTGTCTTTATAATGTGATGTTATTGTGTAAGTTCTTTATTCAGGAAAGATATGAACATTTGTAATGATCCACCACCCATATCAACTACCCCAACAGTGTCTGAATATTTCTTACCAAATCTTTTAACAGATAATTTATGGTCACATGTAGGTATGAAAAAGGTTTTATTATGCAAAGCAAGAATACGATATGACAAGGAATGTGGTGTCTTTCAAACCAATATCAAAAGGAGTTTCAGGTTAAGCCCTGAGACACATAAGAGCTCAAAAACAAGACCCTAATAACAACTAATAAAAAATGGAAATCTTCAAACAGGAGGAAATCGTGAAGCTAAGAAAAGAAGTTTGCGGAAGAGTAATATTTACAGCTTGAAAAATTCTTTCAGATGCATCAACTCCCAACTGTCTCAGGCCTGCAGTTGCCTGCATAGAGATGTATGATTCAAGATATACGCATACAAATCTAACAAAATACAGAAGTTTTATTAGTCATACAAATCACCAAAGGGCGTATTTTGGCGCACATCTTTTGGAACGACCATTTTCTCACCTCTCTCGCTTGGTGATAGAACCTTGTCAGAATCAAGACAAATAATGGTTTGTTTGTTAGATTCCTGGTTGAAGCATATCAAAGAACTAACAAGTCCTTAATTAAATCTATAATATGTTTGATATCTGGTATGTATGCATTGCAACAACAGGCACAGGGGTATGTATGTGCACATTGCTCATCCTACTACTACCAGTTAATGTTTTCATGTTGATTGCAAGTCTATAGGAGTATTTGAAAGTTTGGTGCTATAAATAAACTAAAAACATTTAGCTATGTAAGTATATTGTACTATGACTTTGTTCTTATAGCATGAATAAGTTTATATTTTCATGTTGTAAAGCTGTAATTTAGCACAGACCAAACCAGTCCAGTCCAAATAATCAACCAAACCAACAATTTGAATTTTTTTTTAATCAAAAACATAAACTGTTTGATATCAAGAATGCAGACAGAACAAGAATGCATACCGACTGTCCCAAACAGAAATGCAGTCCCAAAAATTATCAATATGAGAAATTGTTTGATATCAAGAATTATTTAAGCCTTTGCATGAATATTCAACCATTTTTGTTTGAGAAAGATTGCTAAAATGCCATTTGTCCATAAAAATTCAACCATTTCTCTAACTGGAAGAAATTAAAGATAACAGTTCAATAAACCACATGGGTTTCAGAAATATTGCAAGAAATTAAAGATAATAGTTCAAGAAATACATGTAATATTGTATTCTCATATTTCTGCACCATGCATTGGTAATTTTCAACCAAAAAAACTGATTTTTGAAACTGTTTGATGTAAAACACCAAGGAAACCAGGTTCTAAGCATTAACTAAGGTTTGCTTAAAGAAATTAAAGATAAAAGTTTAAGAAATACCTCAAAAGCTGAAAAGGGTATTACTAAACCATCATCTTTTGTTCAAATTCACATAGATCAAGAGGAACTATCACCGAAAAACATAAAAGAAACCACATGGGTTTGAGARAGATTGTTTATTCAACCATTTATCTAACTTAAAGAAATTAACAATAATAGTTCAAGAAACCACATGGGTATGAGAAATACTGCAAGAAATTAAAGATAMTAGTTCAAGAAATACCTRAGATACCAGCAGTGYAGTAGACAAGGGCAAAGATCATACCCCTAAAAGCCCAAGCAATCCCTTGAATACCAACAGTACCACACTTTGTGGGAGATTTAACAACACCCAAAAAAGAAGAGAAAGTTATTTAAAATCTCATCAACAAAATTGAAATAGAAATCAATATCGCATACCTCCAAATTAAAATTGAAATGAAAATCCTAGGGTTTTGAAGAAATGTGAGATTAAAACAACAGGGAAGAGGGAGTTATATTTTTGATACATGAAATCGGACATCTAATCAAGGTGATACATCAAAACCACCATTGTTGTGTCAAACGATGTCTGTGAAGAAAAAGGTATCTGCTATCTAACCCAAAATGTTTTGGCCACATCTGAGAAAAATTACAGAAGAAGAAGAAGGAAGATTTTGGTGTTTTGGTCTCAATCGCAGACATAGATACAAAAGAGAAGAAACCGGCCCAAATGGGTAATTTTATAAGTCTGATAAGGAAAAGGTAAGTTTGACTCAATTAAAATTTGATGTTGTGGAAATACTTGCATAAAAATCTTGTACATTATGCATAAGAAATTGTAATTAAGAGTTTTTTGAATTTTTTGCATAAAATGGTTGTAATATATGCTTCAAGAGTTGTAATTAAGATAATGACCTAAATGCTTATATATGTAGTATAGATATATTTATAAATTCCAAAATCTTAATTCGAAACTTATAACTCAAATATTACAGGTATTGCAATTTATCATCAAGCAGGTTCAGAGCATTGATCAGTAAATACCTCTCCTTCGGACTCATCCTTTCCGATTCCGCGGCTTTATCATTGTTAGCTTCTTTCGTCTCAAGCGCCCGTCGCACCATCCTTATAGTGCCATCACAGTACTTATACAGCTCACTGAATCTCATAAACTTCTTTATTTGACCTTCAGCACTATGCACCACACCGAACTCCGGTTCTTCAAGAATGATATATAGAGGATAACCTTCAATATCTTCAAGTTCTTGGTCTAGTCTTTTCAGATTAATGATCTTCTGATTATCTTCAAGACCCATTTGGATATCTAGAACCATTGATACTTTGACATGACTCCTCATAAACCTTTTGATAACATTTAGAGCAACTATTGCTCCTTCTCTTTTGACAGTCATATTCCGTAGTTCGTGGAACATGTGCTCCAAGTCTTCTAAATACAGATTAGAGAAATCAGCTTCACTGAATACCCAGACCTTTCCATCTTGTCTTGTAACAGTGAACACAGGATACCAAACTCTAAGGAGTTTTTGGGCTTCAATTTGTTTGGGCATCAATATGCCGTTCTTGGAGTCTCTGAAGCACCAAGATCAACTTTAGTGGAGGGTTCAGATGGAGTCTGATGATCACCCTCGAATGGGAATATAGGATCTTCTTCATTGATATCGGCTTCAAAGTCAAAGTACATTCCAGATGACTCATCAATATTGTCGATGTCTTCACCAAAGTCCTGATCTCCACCCACTTCTTTCGAGAAAGCTTCAATAAATCCCACATTGGCAGACAAATCCAGAAGCAACCTTGTTCCTATAGTGGAGTCTGTCGGCTTTTCAACCATTGGCTCGATCATTGGATTTGTCTCCAAGACTATTTCATCTTTAATTATTATCGGGTTGTAGTCCTTTCCCTTGTTGTTAATGGAACATGACTGTCAACGTTAACAGCTCGAGAATCTGGCTCCCTTTCAACACTTTCAACACAAACCCACGACTCAGCCAGCCTTTGTCTCTATCTCTCCCCCTCATGATGATCAGGATCGTCCGGATCATCATGTCTTCTTTTTAAAGAGGTGGCTTGGGCACGGCAGGTGTTTCTAAGATAAATACCCTTTCGGATAGGACATCAATGGAACTCTTCAAGGATTGAGTGTTTGTTGTAATTAGCTTGCTAACTTTTGAGAAATTATAAGCAACTACATCTTGAGCAGTTGTCGGAAGAGCCCAACCAAGTCTGCATCAACCGCATCTGGATTTTGAGTAGACATCAGCTTTGTGTACATCAACGATTTAAGCTCATCCACCGATTATTCTCGTACCCTCGGAGGCTCAGGCACAGGTGGTGGTGACGGCACAGATGGTTGTTCATCAATTACCGGCTCCTTTCCCTTCATTATCCTTTTGAGACTTAGAATCTGTGCTTCCATGTGATCTTGAACAGCCTTTAGGGTGCCGTCCAGATACTCCCTTGACACAAAGTCAGGTAAAGTCAAACCTGGATCACATAGATTTCCAGTTGAAATAACAGCTGAATAAACTGTTGTGCTTACGTTTAGTGTTGGCGTGTTGTATGCACTGGTAGGACTTCCAACCTGTCCTCGTGGTAAGTCAATAGAATCCACTCTGGTTGTTCCGACAGGTTCAGTAAGAACCGCAATTGGAGCAACAGATGCTCTTCACTCATGTGTACCTATATGTATGGGCTCTATACTCGAGGTGCACAGAATCAAAGTCGTAGGCTGAGGCAGAGACCTACTAATTTCAATATCCACATTCTCCGAATGAGAAGTAGATAGATTATGTGTTAAATCCCCGTGAGAAATTGAAACAACTGGTTGTTGAGAATCAATTGAGTGATCGAGATGGGTGTGCAAATGCATAGCTAGGCTAGCTATGTCTGCTTCAATACCGACATTCAACGAATGAATGTCGATAGTAGATGTGGGTGCCCGGCTAACTGTTTCGGCTGGGATAGGAGCTTGTTATTCATTTTATGCTCCACTCACACTCTCATCATATTTTTCTATTTCCCGTTCACTCATCCTCTCAACATTTTTGACTTGAACGACCTCATCATCTTCTACTGGAATATCCTCCATTAAACGATCAAATTCATTATATGTACCACCAACTTCTTCAACATTGAACGATAAGGAATGTAGACTTGGGAAAGTCTGTGGACCATGTATTTCAGGAAAGATATATTCAATGTCATCAATAACTGCTCGGACTTCAATATTTTGAGAAAGCATAGGTTGAGTAGTATTGTCAGCATCATCATTATTATCATCATTATCATCATCATCTTGAGCTGCCTCATTATCAGATATAGTCTCTTCTGAACTTGAAGAAGTTGTGGAAGTACTATCAGTTGAA